TCCAAAGCCTATTAAAAAATAGTCGTTGTGACAACCCCAGTTTTTTGATAAAGACTATTTTTTGATGACGAGCGGCAGCCTCCGTTTTGGACTGGAACAGGGACTAGGAAAGACTTGACGCTAAGGCCGCCTCATAGGATCCCAAAGCCGAATATGTATTTTCATTTGCAGCAATATGTGTTACAATCTTCAAGGCTAGTTGCTTGTATTTTGCTTGGTTTCTTAACATGGCCATGTAGCGCGTGAGGGTGAATCCTCTTCTGACCGTTTCTGTTCTTCTTTTGCCCCACCTTTTTAGCGAAACCAAACAAAACGGGACAGCAAAAATACTTACCCATCACAGCAACCATTCCAGGATGAGAATGTTGATCTTCTGGGTCCACTGCAAAAAAGGCCCGTTCTACGCCAAAAAAAAGAAGGTTCTACGCCAAAAAATAGTGGTTCTACGCCAAAAAATGGTGTTTCTACGGTTTTTCTACGCTTTGTCTACGTTCACGTCGTTTTTGGAGCTGTGTGAAAATTGGAGTGGAAAAAACAAACACCAAGTTGCTTGTTGTTCGTGCCACCTGCGCAAATTGCAGAGGACAATTCTAGAATTTGCTAGAATGAAGGCTCCGTCTACGCAAGACTTTCAGCAGGTGCATTGCGCAAATACGAAAGGGCGCCGAGGACCCTATCAATAAATAGTAATCTACTGGCTCCCAAGGCTTCTTAAGAGGTTGCAATAGCAGGCGCAATTTTGATAAAAACAAAGTACTGGTAACAACCCAAAATGGACCCCAAAGGCCAATGTCAAAAATAGGGGTTGTCAATGCAGAAAAATAGGGGTTGAACAACCCCTATTTAAAAAATAGTCGAGGAAGCATAGGGGTGATGAAATTCCGTTGCTCTCGGCGGTCGTGTAGTTCACCGAAGCCAACAAAACTGCAGTGTTTGCAGGAAGGCGTGTACCACCCTGGCTATGTGTTTTAGTAGAAGTAGTCCTTGCCTCCCTCTGCACTTCGTGCCCTGCACTACTGAAAGTTGCAACTTTTGAGCTGGAGCTGCTAAAGTGCACTTTGTGTGCTACACTTCACGCCGTCGATTCAGCCTGTCCATTTCATTCGGTGTTCCTGGCGTAAGGGTGACACAAGGCCTGCTGCTCGAGGCCAATGTGTCGTGTAAGCCAAGGCATGGGTTGCGTAGGTAAGGAATATCATGCGACGTAGCGATTTGTGACACCTTTTGAACACGGCTTTCACAATCGCTGTCCCCTATTACTAACTAAATCCACCCCAGCCAATGTGTAAATATCATTTCCGGGCGGAAGCGCAAGAAACGTTCCGCCCTTTTACGTGTCATTGACCCACCACTAAACCAATACTAAACTTCTGACAGCCATTCTTTGGGGGTACTTCCAGCAAACCCCTCCTGTAAGTTGTAAAGCCAAATTGCATGTTAATTTCGGCCACTTGCATCGACAAATCCAAAAAGCCCTTTGAGTAATTCTATATAAATACCCTATCCGGCAGATTACGAGTTTGACGCTTTTTGTGCCCTGCGGAGGGGGGACCCTGTTTGGGGAAAGCTACTGGGACCAACTGAGCGGAGGGCAAAGCCTCCCAAGACCAGCTTAGTAAGGGGGCGCCAATATCGGACGGTCCGCGTAAGGTTTTTGCTTTTTGTGGTAAGCTTGCGTAAGCACGCGCGTAAGCATGTTGCAAATATTGCGCGCGCAAGCTCGCGCGTAAGCACGAAGCCCGCCATTGACCAAATCCTGACTAGGGCCACAGCGAGTATCTCCAGAGGCGTTAGACCCACCACCGAGAAAAGTGCTTGCTTCAAAAATCGCGTGTAGGGCCACAGCGAGGTATCTCCAACGCTTGAAAGAGCCGCACGGCAAGCAGAGAGGTGTTAGAGCCACCGCCGGGAAAAAACGATTCAGTTTGGCGAGCTAAATCGTTTTGCGTTTTTTTGCCCAAAGCCGGTGAGTCTACAGCAGCTTTCTTGTCAGCCAACCAGATATCAACAACCTCTAGCTCCGTGGTCTTCCTTCCCGCAACCCTTGCTGGCGCATGAAGGCGTGGAGGTTCAACTCTCCCACCCGCCGAGTGGCCTTTGTCTCACCCAGGGCCACAGCGAGGTATCTCCAAGGCTCAAAACAAACTGCGCGGCAATACAGCCACCAACGGGAAAAAACGATTTAGTTGGGGGAACTTTGTTTTGGTGCGCTTGCTTCAAAAGGTGACAACAAAGTCACACCAAGTCACAGACGGTTTTTTTTGGGCGGGCAGTGCAGCTGCAAGAAGCAAAGCTGGAGGTGCGGAAAAGACCGGGGCGCTCTCAGCCGAAAAGCAAGTCATCGGCACCCTTAGCGTAAGCGGTGCGTAAGATGTGAGAATCCAAGCGCGCGGCGCGTAAGTTTTTCAAGTGCGGCGTAAGCGACGCGTAAGCTGTCGCGTACGCTGTTTGATACCGGCAAGAAACACACGGAGGGTTTTGCCCTCTGCTCAACTGGGTTCAAAAATATGTTTCCCCAAACATTAAATTATATGGGGGAGCTGGGTTCCCGGAACTTCATAATGGAAACGAGTTTTCCTGGCAAGCCCGAGGTTGCTGAATATCCGCCGTGTTGCTGCCAAAAGTGTTTCGTCCCAATTCGTGAATATTCCAGAACTGTTGCGAACGGCAGAACACGCCGTTTGAGTGGCAAGACATGCCGTTTGCTTGGACAACACTTGGCCGAAATGCAGTTGGCCAGCAATGTTTTGGGTCTTTGGCACATGTTTAGTACCTGACCAAGAGCGAGCTTGTGACGCACTTCCGGTTGCAAGTTGCAGCGTGAGAAAACCCGTCGGAGCAGTTCGCCCAGGATGTGAAGACCTAGCGCTCTGCCAAAAGAGAAAAGACAACATTCGATGCGGCGAGTTCGCTGGGCGAGATCCTTTATGGCTCGTGTATAAACATGTGCAGTCAAGAATCACAACCATCTACCGCAAAGAGGATGACATGGGAGTTCATTTTCTGGCTTCGTTTGCCTGCATCCCACGTTTGGCTTTTGGGTGCTTTGTCGGCCCCGAGCATCTTTAATATCTTTGTTTTTGGATCTTTTGGCAGGTGAGAGGACAGGCCTCAGACATTGTTGCCAAAAATGGGTGTTGCGCAGACCCCCTAAACAGCCACGTTTTGTGTATTGAAGTTGTGCGGTGTGGTAGAATGTGAAGTCTGACCCGCCGCCCGGCTCCGTTCAAGTTTCCCTGGAGACTTGATTTAATTTCAAGTGCCAGCCTAGCTTAAGCCCCCGGGCGATCGGGGCAGCGATAGCCTGCGCCTTAGACGTGAAAGACCCCAGGAGAGCAGCGAGCTTGCCACAGCGGTCAGGGGTTTGCTATGCTTGAACTTTGCAATGCCTTTGCACGCTCGCAGAGCTACACGCACAGTGGCTCACGTGGTGCCCACCTATCAATTGGTATGAATTGCACCCAGAAACTCTCAAAAAGGGGGGTGAACAGAAGACTACAATGCTAAAAAAACGGGGTCCCAAATTTTAACCCACAAGCCTAATTTTGCAAGGATGGCATCATGCTAACAAAAGGAGTCGCACTAACGTTGATGCGTTCCGCTGGTGTTGGGCTTATGGTTTTAGGGATTAGGCTTTTGCCCCCAAGACAGCCCATAACACTGGCCCTGCACATCAATTCGGTTTTAGGGCTTTTAGGTCTTAGGGTTTAGGTTTAGGGTGCCTAGGGTTTAGATTTAGGGTTTTGAGGGGTTGGGTTCAGGGTTTTTAGGCTTATGCATAGGGTTTAGGGTTTAGGGTTTACTCTTCGTAGCCGAGTTTGGAAGTTGAGCCACTTAGCCCTCCAAAGTCCCCGGACAGAGCTTGGGCTTGCAGTAATTAATTTGCACTTGCGGCCAACAGGCGTTGGGTATTGGTCTCGGATCAATCAACCTTCTGCATCAATAGGGGGTGTTCCTCCGAAAAGGGAAGGACCGCTCTGGAACGCCACACCCTTTCAAACAAGAGCGACATGTAAGGCTATTTCGGGACACCCAACAGCCAGGTCGATTGCTCAGAGACTTGCCCAGCGCATCTGAGAAGTTTCCGTCGGTCGCTGCCTGAGTTTGGCCGAATGGCGCCCACAACATGGGTGGCTTTGCTTTGGCATGCCTGCAAACTCACGCCCCAGAAGAGTACCCTCAACAAACAGACAAACACACACACACACAAGTGTGTGGAAAGCAACTGGGACCCATCACACGCCGCGCGCGCACAATGCAGTCTGACTCAATTTGCGAAGTGGTCAAACCAGGCTGATTGGACACCTGTTGGACTTTGAATTGATTGAGGCATCCTGACACGTGGTGAGCTTCTCTGGTGCGTAGCTTGCTGGGGTCTGCCATGTTCTCCCAGATGGTGGCTTCCCTCGTTGGAGTGCCCATGGATTAGAGATCCCCCCATTGTGAACATCCCAGGTTTGACTTTAACTTGCTTCTTGAACACAACAATGCTGGGGACTCAAGCTTCGGAGCGAAGGGCGTCGCTCGAACTTGGAAGGCGTCGCACACGCTAAGCCGGGCAGCCGACCAAGGCCCGGATGTTTTGAGGTGTAGAGGTTACCACTGGAGAAGGAGAGGTTGTTTCTGCAGACACATGTCAGTAAAGTCATCTCCTCAAACTTCCACACCCAACAATGCCCTTAACTGGACCCCTCTTTTGGTGAGACCCCCTAAACGCGTCCGATTCAGAATGATGGGACAACCGAGATTTCGGCAGAGATGGCCCGGGCTTTAGTTTGTCTTCAGAAAGTCATGACACTGGGCGAGCTTCGGCCGAGGTCTGGTAGAAAGTGTCCTAGTAGATATGTATTGGGGATGATTCCAACCCAAGCCGGATGCGGATGCATGTTGAGAGCAATCGGCTGGAAGAAGGGGTTTTCTTAAGGCAGGGGGTACTTAGTGGTTGACCCTGGCATGAACACAATTGAGATGGTTTGCATTCTTTTCGGCTGGTGCGACAGATGGCGGAAGATGATGCCGGGGGCTTTGAGGACAATGAGTTCGATGACGAGGCACAGCGACAAGTTTCTGATGTGAAGGATTGCGCCAAAGTCCCCACGCCGTTAGGTTGGGTTGCTCTGAGCCTGATGACCAAACCTCAATCGAAAAGTGGTCGGATTTGGTTCGGGTTTGCCTTGCTCTTGTGCCGGGAATTTCGGACCCTGAAAGTTCCCTTTTTCCAAATGGAAGTGGAGTCCGGGGGGCCTCCAAATAGGTTTGGCTTCGCGCCGCCAAGAGCTGCAGTGTGGAGCAACAATTTGAATGCCTTTGGGCTCACTTGAAATTATTAGCCTTTTGAGGTTAACGGGGCCGTCACCAGGACGCATGTTGTTCGAGCATCTCGGAGACGCCCAAGTTCGGGGGGATGTTTGATTGTTTGATTTTATTGCAGGGCGGTGGGAGGTTGTAGACCTATATGCCAAGGCTTGGATCCGAAGCACGTGCATCTGATATTTTTCAGGCCTCAGATGCCGGGGATGACGTGGAGGTCCCCGAGGAAGGCAAGACACTTCGAGCCGTATGCGTATACCCCCTTGGATGGAACATATGGGGTGTGACGTTTTGAGGGTATCAAAACAGGAAACCATCGGAAAAAAGGGACACTGTTTTAGCTTTAAAGGGCACCTTTTCTTATCTGTTCTTGAGATGCCTAAAGGGAAACCGTTTTTCAGGGTACCCTTGAATGAGAACCCCTCCATTTTGGGGGTCCCTAGAAGATGACACACCTGTATGAGCAGAGCCCAAAGCGGATTCCCAAATTGACGATTTTAGTAAGTTGATAGTAAAGCCTATCTCAACCTCAAGCAATGTTGGTAGAACCAAAGTCATTGGGCCCTCCTCATATCTATCCACACATATATAAAGAGTGTCTTTTGGTTTTTGTACCACCAAATCTAACTTGCGCCATTGGCAACGGGTAGAGTTCTGGTTGCCAAAGGCTGTCCTAAGACTGTAGGTTTGGGTGTTTTCACACACATCCCAACAGTAACATAAGACTTGAGTGGGGAATGGCCCTGCGCAAACCATCGGGGCGACAGCTAACCGTCCTTGTCTTTTGGTGTCTTTCCTTGCTTTTGAATGGAGAACTAGGTATTGGGCCGCGTGCGTTTCAGTTGGGTTGAACGAAAAGGACACCGAAAGTAAGCCAACCTAGTTAGTTCTCATTGGATACGTCATGCCTGGGAATTGGCAAATTGCATCGTAGCGATCTCATAAAGGGCTTGGTTTGCGTTGAAGCCCAAAAGCAGAAACGGGTATGCGAATGGTACTACGTAATCATATTACATAGCCAGACTCAAAGGATATGAGGGGGATGTGGTTTATCCCTCTAACATTTGCCCGGACTTGTGTGTTTGCTCGGGCAGTTGGTCAGTTGGTCCAGCGGGTGCCTGATGTCGGAGGTGAGGAGGATGAGGCGGCGGACGACTTTGACATGGATGCCCGGGTGCGTTTCTCAGTGCTGCGCCATGCTGCGCCATGCTGCGCCAATGAAAGGGTTGGGTTGGCCCTCAAATGTGATCATCAATATGGCCCCAGTTTGGACCTTTGTGCCGCCTTCCGCCGCATGTTGAAGGAGGAGCCAAACCGGCCTCCTAATCTTGGCCGGTGGATGTGACCTTTTGGTGATCTGTTGAGGTAAGAAAGGGAGTTGGCGGAGAAACCACATGCAGTCGGTGAGGGTACATACATGACGCAAGCGCACCACCAGCAGCCATGCCACCAAGCCTCGGTGGGCCCTTGTTTTCTCCTGACAATTTGTGAACCCGATCCGCACGCGAAAGTGTTACTTCCATGTGAGTCTCCTTGCAACACCGCCCCAAAGGTTTGGGTTTGGTTGCTTTGAATTGTTTTGGTTATTGTTTGCTGGTTTCGTTGGTGTCCGGCTCGTTTTGAGGGCCTTTCAGTTGTCAGCACCGTTCCGTCTTTATGAGGTAGGCCACCTGTCCCGCGCCGACATCCAGCACATGTCGCCCCAGGAGTCCTTCCTGATTTGCAGCTGCCTCTAGGGCTGCCTATGCGGGTCAATGAAACTGAGGACATGACTCGTCCAAACCGGAAACATCCAGACACCTTTTTTGAGACGGTTGAAAAGGGAGCCCATTCATGAAAACCATCCAGAGGGGTTGCTTCTGCAAATACGCGTAAGCAACTGGCCACAATGGTTCGATGTCTTCCCTTACCGCTAAACAGGCCCACGCATATGATGGCGAGAAGGCAGACACAAAAGGCTCTCTGGGTCAGCTTGGGTCAGCTGCACGAGACCGGCGAGAGATCGGGCCCCGGTTGAGGTAGCAGATGATTTGCCCAAGGGTCCATGTTAGGGGCTGCTCTCGAGACCACCTGGCCCCTCAAGAGGCTTTGAGGTGCCTCGTAAAATGAACCGAAAACGATTTGGAGGGTCCTCCGCGAGCTCGGTTTCACACCTGGCAAGCTGAGATCCAACTTGTTGGGCAATATGCTGGGGAGATATTTGAAAACGGCATATTGATTTGCAATATAATACAGGCTCGTCTCGTCCAAACGGAACCCCCGAACTGGGTTTCCCTTGAAACGACCCCAAACAAAATGCCTACCCGGAAGGAGACACACGCACACACTCACACGCACGGACTGAACAGCAAGGGTTGGCGGACATTCAAGACATATCACCAGTTGGATCCTTAGATGTTCCAGACCCATGCAACCCAGTTGCCCAGTGCTGCTCTTTGCTCTTCTTTTTTTGTGTCAGGGGGCCTCCTTTAAAAGTCAACGCGAGCGGTTTCTGGTGGAATTCCACGCTGAGAGTCCAGGAGCCCCAGTATCTTCAGCCAAGCGTTTCCGCCGCGCCAGGATCAGCTCAAGAAGTGGCATGAGATGCTTTTACCCTCGGAGGTCCGGAGTGTTGCAACATTTGAAGCACCCGGGTCCAATTCTCTGGGATACCAAGCGAAAACTATGAAAAAGGGTGTTTAAACCGTGTAGTTTTGACCAGTTGAATCCCGAGAACCGCGACAACAAGCTGGCGCATGGCTTTTGACCGGTGAGATGTGCCCCGAATTACGCCAGGTGGCTCGTGTTTGGAGAACTGGTCTTCAACTCGCGAACCTGTTTTGTTGTTCAGAAGCCAAAGGAAAGCAACCACTGCTTGGGCCCCCAGTTCATTTAGGGAGCCCCCAGCTACTGAAGAAGGTGGTGGAACAGTAGCCAAAACTATACTCCCATACTGGGGAGGGTGCACTTTCTAACATTGCTTTGTTTGACTCTGTGTACATGTTTAGCACGAGTCGTGTCACATCGACCTGTGATCGTAAGGTGGCGTAAGCTGGAGGCGTAAGCAAGACCTCCACAGGTGTCGCGTAAGCAGAAACTCCACGCGGAAGGTGGCGTAAGTTGGCGGCGTAAGTGAGACGGCATAGCAAATCATGACACGCTTAGGACATGGCTCAACTAGAACCCAATCAGAATGATGGGATCCATAATTTTGAGACAAGCCCGGTTAGCACGTCAGCTAGGTCACACAAACTGAAGAATGTATGACCATCTCGACATGTTTCCCGACAAATGATCAGTTGCAGGGCCAGTTGAACCGATCCAGGCCTTTAGTTGCAACCCCGGTCGCGCCAGGTGGATCTCATTTCTGAGTTGGACGCGCCAGCCCGAGTTGCCATGAACTGCTCCGAGAGCACCGCGCTTCCTATCGCCAAGATCGTCAGGCATACTTGGGTCCCTTAAAGTGAACTTTTTGGGGTTCTTATAAGATGAAGGGCGTTTTCCCCCTAAACCGCCATGAGGGTGAGTTTGAGGATGTGTGTCGCTTCTGGGCAGATTCCGGGCTGAACGTGTCATTGGGAAGGCCCCTCAGCCACGTGTGGATGGGATGCTTGCACAAGAGCAACTGGCCTTTGTAAGGGCGAGTCGAATTCGGGGGAACAGCCCAACGGAAAGCCTGCAACCAACAGCCACGAAACACTACCAGGCTTGGCTTGATCCTTTTGCCTTGGTTTTCCTTCAGTCTCCCCTACCAGCACACACTTCACCTTTTGCAAGGGGGTCTCTGGCTCCCATCTTCCCCACCGGGTCCCGGGCGACGCGACAAAAATGCGCCTGAGGCCACGAATGTTTTTTTCATCAGCGCCGAGTCGGTGATCGCCGACCTGCTTATCTCCTCTGGAGAGGCGTTGGCGAAATGAAAGTCTCCACCTCCAGTCAGACCAGCCCATTTTAGACCACCTGGTTGAAGAAATTGTATGGCCTACCCTTGACAACCTTGTGCCAACACAAGTGTGAAAAAGGAGCCTTTCAGAAGGCATTTGTCAACCCTTTCGCACTTTTTCGGACGCAGAACAAGCTTGAACACGTGGGCCTTGGTTTTCTGGTGGAGTGAAAGGCCTCGCTGCAACAGTGTCAGGTTGGCGATTTCAGACGACAAGTCAAACATGGCTACCTTTCTTGAGCAGTTGTCAGGCGTCTTTTTTGTGGGCCCAAAGTCCACCTTGACATCCTCTTGATGGACAAGGGGGATCTGGATCCTGGATAGAGTCCTGTGGGCTTCTCAGTTTTGTGTCTTGTTTGGAGGGGGGGGGGGGTACTTGTTCATAAACAAACAATCAGATAGCATACAGTTAGGATCAATGTCGAAGATATCTTACCAGGAACCGCAAAAGGAAGTAGTCGACGAAAAGCCAAATGACCTGTCGCTGGCTGGCCGGGCGCTTGTTTGGTTTTCGGAGGGGCTTCAACGCATGATAGTTCAGGAGAGACACCATATGATCCATAGGCTTCTTTGTTTGGTCAGTGTGGTTGAAAATAGATGGCACAGTTTTTCAGTTTGGTTCCGACAATCCAGGGTCATCCATTAAGGGAGCCCCTACCCCTGAGGCAGGTCTCAGAACCTCAGAACCCCTTTGATTTGGTTTCTGCAGACTCCAAGGCACACAGCCAGAGGTTGAAGCCTGAGTTGTTTGGTTGTGCCGTAAGTATCGTGTTTTACTTCTTCCGATAGGATTTCCTGTCAATCAAGAAGCACTGAAGAAGCACCCCTTTTTCTCCTAAACCGCTGTGCATATCCAAGTCGCTTTTAGGATGGGCTCCCACTCCGCTCCGGCGAACAGCCTGAAGCGCAGGGCAGCTTCGACGAGGAGGGCCAGTTCCTGCGGATGACCTTCCTGGTGGAGCAGCTGTTGGCGAGTCTGCAGTCCTGCGGCGGAGTCTTCAGGCGGGGTAAAAACGAAAGCGATCCATCCGCACGAAAATATCTGTGGTGTCTTGAGGCAGTGCCCTTTCACCCTAGTTGTAAAGGGCAACAAGTCTCACAGAACATCGCATCCAAAAGGCTCGACGGTGTACTTCCGTAGGAGGCTCAATTTGGGGGCGTATCCTCAGTCATCCACTCGCTCCCCTGATTCCCAGAGCCTGCCGTTGGCGCCAATCAGATTCCAATCTTCCTTTGCGCTGAGCTGATCAGAGGTGCGACGCACCTGAAATTTCTGTGGGTGCATGAAGCAGCTTGCTGCCAAAAGCCTCACTGAGCATCGCTGGGCGTCAGCTCCTGCAAGTTGGCCAAAAGAGATTTCATTGGTCCGCAATCGGTGAGCCTTTGCTCCCAATGCGCGCAGGGCTTTGGGGGGGCGTCCCTGTCCAGATATGCCGGCAAGAGTGGCCTCCAAAACAAATCCGTGTAAACCTGCCCAACCATTTTGGTAGAACCAGATGTCGATGGATTTTGGCTTCATGCACATTGGATCACACCCCTGCCAAACAGAAAGACGAGCATCGGCCAAACCTGGAAGTGGGTACCGAATAGTCGTGCCTTTTGCAATACATAGATGGCACCTAGTAAATCAATAGAAACCAACTGCAACCAATGCGATCTATTTTGAACCATACAGGGACAGCTATGCTTCCTACTGTGGAAGAACAACGTCAACTTCGCACTAGCTGGTAGGTGGTGTATGCCAGTATTCACGGGTCTCCTTTATCCAACTTGGTGAGAGATGGAGTTGCTCCATCCACAGTAGACGCCCCAAGCACATCGTTAAACATGAGCCAGGTTGATTTTCTTCGACGCCTTCAAGGACGTCTTCGATGTCACTTTCGAGAGCTCCCTGTGGGCCTTCCGGGAGGCGGAACGGATCCAAAGTCTGCCTCTCGGGACTTTTGCCTTTTCCCCCTTTCACAGGTGGGCCGATGAGCGGCTTCTAGTTTGTTTCCCTTGAAACAGCACCTGGATTTCCTTTGGGTAGGACATAGGAACAAAGGCACCCCGGCAAGGCTTGCTTGCACATTGCGTTTCAATATCTATGACTGGCAGACCCTCCGACTCCTTTAGAGGCAACCCGATAGGAGGTTGATTCAACATGGTTTTGGAGACCTCATTTGTTTGGCGCGTCCTCAATAGAAGAGGCCAAACATAATTACTTATAGTGTACCACTAAGCCTTTAAGCATGACTATGGGGTTAAAGTACCCCACAAGAAGGATGCTGGGGCCACAACACGTTTCTCATCGTCGCTCGCCATTTCTGTCCGGAAGCGGCGGCCTCGAGCGAGGCCTTCCTGAATCACTGCCGAGCCAACGGCATGGACCACGCGGTGTTTCGCCATTGGCCGCTCGCTTTCGGGGACTGAGACCGTGGCTGACGTTTTGACCAGTAAAGTGGGGTGCGTCCGTTTGGGTCTTTCTGTCTTTTGATTTGATTATTTATGTATGTTTCCTGGCTTTGTGTGCCGTGTTGTTTTTGTCTTTGGGTTTGCCTTTGCAGTCCGCGACCAACATAGACAATAGAGTGAGGGTCTGGCTTTTGTCCCATGGCCTAGCAACCCAAGGAAAGGCCCGGAAAAAGACACACACACACAAACACACCAAATAAACCCAAGACAGCTTCACGTAGACGATGGAGTCCCCCGCCCCCCGGTTTCGCCCTTTGGGGGGCCAGACCGGTGCACACAAACTTTAGATGTTGCAATGTGTCGAACATGGGGCCTGCGTTTGGCTCGTTACAAACGGAAACCAGCCCTGAAAAGGCTTTTGGGGGGGTTCGGATTCCTGTATGTCACCAGCTTCCCGTTGGGTTCGGAAGGAATTGTTTGAATCGGCCGCGCGGAGTCGCGCAAAGGTATTCGCAGGAGTGGAAGGATCACGTGACCACCTGGAGGCACGCAGCGATGTTTGCAAAGGAGTCTGTTGGAGAAGCATGCAACCGCAAGCTGAACCTGTACAACGCTTCCTTGCCGCCAACACACGTGGAAGTTCTTTTAGACCACCTCTTGGAAAGTGGCCCGTTCACTTCCATGTTGGCTGGTAGAGGGTGCATTTGAAAGCAAAGGAAGTCCCTCCCTTCCTCGAAGACTGATGCTGAGGCCCTCGTTTTTCCTCCTGGCCAACGACCAACTTGACTCCCTTACTGGAGATGATGAGGAAGAGGAGGCAGATGTTGTTGGCGCCGGCGTTTGTTTGTCTGTTGCGGGGGTGGCTGGGGGGTAGGAAGATGGGAGGGTCGGAGGGGTGGGAGGGGGGTTGGGGGGACGGTGGGAAGGCTGGTGTCATTGTTTGGCTAACAGGCTTTGGCAGATTTGACAGACGTGCAGCCATCTTCATGTTTCCTTACTGGGACGGTGGTGGCTTTTATGGTATGGTATGGCATGTCGAAAAATATGTAATCACTACAGCTGTCAGTTTTTCTTTCAACCTATGAGAATGGATGTCAAGCCACGACCACAATGCTGCCACGTGGGGGGGGGGGGGCATAGGTGGGAGTATCGTTTATTGTGCCACAAATCGCAGGCCATCCAAGGCTAGCAAAATTCCACACGACGTATGCCTCTATGCGCACAGGACGAGGACGACGTGAGAAAGAAGGGAAGCTTCCAAGCCTTGATGCTGAGGAGCCATGCTGTGTGCGATGTGCTTCGAGAGGAGACCTCTTGTGTCTTTGTTCAGCTTCCAGCCACGGTTGAACCCATATCTACTGTTTTTGCGTTGCAGCACCAGCTCAGTTTTCAACTCTTGGCTGGTCTCCTGGCCCCCCGCAAGAAGTTAGCATCAAACAGCGACCAATATTGATGAGAGGGGATCAGACTCCCCAAAGAAAGCTGTAGATTTCCTGAAGATATGCCAACTGGTGCCAACAGGGGTTCGGCAAAAGGACCAGGTCAGTTTCCTTGGGTGTCACTGCTCCAGATGCCTGTCCTACCGGGTCCACGTCGCCTTGCTCCGCGGCCTTCAGAGACGTGGCAACCGTGGGAGGCTTACAACTCGCGAGTGCGTGAACAGGGTTCCGATGTCTTCATCAGGAAGTAGATTTGCCGGCTTTTGCCTGCCTGCCTGCCTGCCTGCCTGCCTGCCTGCCTGCCTGCCTGCCTGCCTGCCTGCCTGCCTGCCTGCCTGCCTGCTGCCTGCCTGCCTGCCTGCCTGCCTGCCTGCCTGCCTGCCTGCCTGCCTGCCTGCCTGCCTGCCTGCCTGCCTGCCTGCCTGCCTGCCTGCCTGCCTGCCTGCCTGCCTGCCTGCCTGCTGCCTGCCTGCCTGCCTGCCTGCCGGCCTGCTTGCCTGCCTGCCTGCCTGCCTGCCTGCCTGCCTGCCTGCCTGTGCCTCTGCCTGCCTGCCTGCCTGCCTGCCTGCCTGCCTGCCTGCCTGCCTGCCTGCTTGCCTGCCTGCCTGCCTGCTTGCCTTCCTGTGTGTTTGCTTGCTTCTTTGCTTGCTTTTGCTTTGCTTTTGCTTTTGCTTTGCTTTGCTTTGCTTTGCTTTGCCTTGCCTTTTTGGTTTGTCAGTCCGATTAAACATGCACAAAGTGGAATGCTAAACGCATCCTTGACAATGTGTCCTCGCAAACGCATCCTTGAGGTGTCATGGCTTTCACTGTAGAGCCGGACTGCCACGACTCCTTCATAGACTTCAACGTGCAGGCCATCAGTTCAGCAATCTCTAAGATGGTTTCCTCTCCCCTCAACTCACTGCCCCGAAGGAATATTGGGGTATGTAACTACAAAACAACCACGAAGAACCCATTTCGACCCCGCCCCTGTGGAATTTACTGGGTGTGTTTTTCTCTGGTCACCTGTTTGGGGTGGTCTAAAAGGCCTTTCCATGCAGACGGCATCTCCGTCAAGGAAAATCGATCGAGTCACGTACCCAGAATTTGTACATAAGCCAAAGGAGTATACCCTCCTTCAACTGCTGTAGGCGGACATCCTGAAACAGTTGGTTGGTTCACAGCAATAGGGTTTCATCTATTTGGAGGATGTGGCCCAGTACCACCCCCCCCCCCCTCAAAAACCCGGGGTTGGGGCTGGGGGTCTTGGCGTTTTAGTCCCAGAATCCCGCCCCCTCGAAATCGGCTACGATTGGCAGCTTCAGGGCGCCCTCCAGCCCCTCCTCGAAGAGGAGGAGGAGGAGGACGCCGAGGAGCGGCGGAGCGGCGAAGGGAAGATCTTTTTAGGAATCGGTGAGTTGTCAAATCTGTTGGAATTCTTGGTGGCTCCCAGCCATCCGGTTCTTTAGCCTTGGAGCTTTTTAGTGTTTAGTGGCAGTTTCCATTTAAACCCGCTAAAGGTTAAACTTTTAGCAGGGCAGCCCAGAATTGGTTAGTTTGTTGAGTAATGCTTATGGTTCATGCTTATGATTGGTGGTTATGGTGAATGGTCATGATCAATGGTTATTACCCTTTGTTGCAATGGGTATGGTTATTGGGCCTATGGTCAGTAGGCAAACTATATGGTTAATGGTTTAATGGTTTGGTATGTTGTATCGTATTGTGGTTGTATATTTTAATGGTACAATGTTGTTATGTTGGTCACGGCTAAAGGTTATTATTGGGGCAACACTTAACGGTTGTGGTTGTGATGGTTACGTTTAACAGTTATGGTTAGCGGTAATGGCTAACGGTTATGAGTACCGGTTCTGGTTGAGGGTGTTGGTTTCTAGTAATCCTAGACCACCATATGAAGGGCCAAAGTTTGGGGTTCATGTTGGGTCTCCTTGACCAATTCGTGATGGTAGACAACCATCGCGGGCCATTTTGAGGGAAGCAGTTTTGTGGGGGACATCTTATATCTCGAGGCGCAATTAAACAATCACTGGAAAGGCCACTTTTCCTATCACAGACGTGGAACGCAACTCACCCCCAGAAATTCAAGTGTTGTTCCGTTGACCTCTGAGTGCAGCTGAGACGGTCTACCCAAGGGAGACTCCTGGCAATATGAAGCGCTCAACAGATGCAACTATTGTTCTCCTATGATCACGTAATTGATTGGGTTTACCCATGACCATTCCAATGATTGAATGGGCTTTCTAGTAACCCCTTGAACGGGCTAGTACTAAGCCCAAGTACTTAAGCAGGTTCAACCCACCAATTACACCCGCACTGTGTTGCCAGTGTGGTCTTAATGGGAGCTGAGTTCCCCAGCTGAGTTCCCGATTGACCAATTGGCTTCCGAGACGTAGGACTTCTTGCCGGAGCTGCGGAAGTTCCAGACGCGGGCCGCCGGCAAGGTGGGAAGCGCTGCCCACTCCCAAAGAGTTGGTGTAGCATTTACCCACATTCCCTCATGAGGTCCAACTGGGTCAAACGTTTACATGCATATCATGCATATCATACATATTATATAATCAATACGCATACATTGCCTACGCTGGTGTGCGGACGCTGGACATCTCCAGAACTCCCACCAGCTGGTGGGTTTACAGAAAGTCAGCGCTGTTTTGGTACTGCTAGCCTTTCGACAGTTTCAAAACCTGCGTGTTGGTTCTTTGTAAGGTTAGGTAGACTCTCTTTAGGTCTAGGTTTAAAGTTGCGACTCAATAGAAAAGTGATTTTCAAGCGGATAGGTCTGCCCCCGCCCGCATTTTTCTGCATGTTCGAGACCGGCGCCATTCCCAGGGATCAAGTTGCCCCTCGGCCCTGGTATACATGTAATACCTGTAGGCCCTGAGTCCATTCGTATAAAATCAGTCCCAAAAGTGGAGTTGACGCTTCTGGAAGGCACCTTCCCCTATGGCAGCAAGGCCTTTGCACCTGTGCACATCTATGCTGAGAGGGCTTTCGGATTGAAGCTGTCAGGGATCCGCATCCATTTCAGGATGGTGACATCGCATTTTGGGCCGACTGCGATTGACTTGCCTTTTACCGGAATGTTCAAGCGGACAGAACTCAGGTGCGCTGATCTAATCAGAGAGCTGCACCTCATAGCCCAGTCCTTCGAAGGGAAAGCAGTTTGGGCCACACTGGAACCCTTGGTGAGAGCGTTGCAAGGGACTTCCATCCCCTCCAAATCTGGATGCAAACCGTTCCTTGATATTCTTTACCCTTGGTTTTTGGGCAGACCCCTTTAACGATGAAACCCTCTACACTCTGGGTGAGTGCAATCCCACCCCATGAAAGGAAGGACTCATTTGGGCAGGGAAAAGAAACAGCACGAGTCCTTTCTGGCGGGACTGTGATCCGGACGCAGAGTAGGGTAGAACGAGCCGATTGTGGGCTTTTTTCTTCCCTTTAAGTTCAGACAGTGGTGACCTTTTCCCTTCAAGCCAACCCCCAAAAATGAGGCCTCGAAAAAGGAACCAAACTCTTCGCAGATGACATAGTCCACTGATGTTTCGGGACCAATTCGGGGAAGATGTGGGGGACAACCCGAGTTTCCGACAAACACCAAGGGCACGGCCCATTTTGTCCATTTCGTTCAGGGGAACGAATATGCCATGGCACGACCTGGCGAGGTGAAGGAGGATGCCATACTCCGGTGCTTCATCCTGTGCCGATTTGCGAAGTCCATGTTGGCGCGGGGCTCAGAAGCCCAAGTTTAAACCCAGGGTGCAGCTATTTTATGAAACCTCGCCAGTTCGTGGCCATTTTGAATCGAGCTTGCTTTGGGGCGTGACGGTTCCATGGAAATAGATCTAGATTTAGGTTGAACGGATTCTGAAACGACAACCTCCGCAGAGACCAGGAAAGGTGCCGATCAACAAAGCAACGAGAAGGGGGCGGGTTCAGATCGGCTAACGTTGTTGCTTAATAGCATTGCGATCCTTGGGAGGCGGCAGATGGGTTCCTATGTCCTCCTAACACGGGCGTTCCTTTGGATTTGCTTTGGACACCCACTTGGACACCTAAATGGCACGGACGAGCAACTCCTCAGAGTCTGACTTGGATGTATACCCTTCAAACTATACATGCGCTTTGCCCTACGCGTTCCAGAAACCCTTCTTTCCCGCAAACTGCCAAAAACCGTAGCGGGAACATCTGATTTTGAACATCTTGATGCCTGAGCAGAATAGGCAATCAACCCCTAGACCCTGGACTCAATGCTCATGAGCGACGGTGTTTTCGCGACCCAGGCAGAGGCGAGCAAGGCTTCCGGAGCAATGCCGCTGAGCCGAAGTTGGCGAATGGATCAATGACACCGGAAGCGTCAGAAGGGGCACTCCCCGTCCATAGGTATCCCAATTAAAGCCATTGGCAGACAAAGGAGCTTTGCGGAGATGATTGTTTTTTCCTAGCTAGCCATGAGGTCCATGTTTGGCCGGCTTTTCTTTCCAGGGCAAGCCCTCTGAGAGTTCATCGGCTAGCATGGTGCAACTTACCCACGAGGGTTGGAAAGTGGCAGTTAGGAGGCTTTGAACTCAACCGCGGTTGTTTGCTTCCTCTTGGAAAGGATGAGCGTGGGTCTTTCTTGGTTGCCTACCCCTTTGTTTGTTTCAGCGGTGGAAACCAGGGACAACCACCAAAGGGCGGGTGCATATCCCATTTCGTAATAAACCATTCGTGTGTCTTTTCATGGTATTTGTGTAGGTATTTACTAATATGTTTGTATGTTTTTCAAAATCGGGGATCCCAAAACGGTGTTTTGGCCACGGTACCACGCCCAAAGACCCAAGCTCATGTTTCGAAGGGCCGAACGAGGTCTGAGCTGCTGAAGGTGGTGGTGCGGATTATGATGATCCAGGACCCGTTTTTTTGTTTTTACTTCTTCTTTTTTCTGAAGGACGTGGGGTGGCCCAAAATTCCGATTTTTCAGGTTCCCCTATATTTGGTAGGTTGGTGGATTGAATCCCTTGTTTTCTGGAGGGTAAATGGAAACCACTTCCTAATCTCAAGAAAACTAATCCAAACCATGAATTAGAAGTGGTTAGACGCTGATCTTTGGGGGCCGCATGATGGACACTTTGCAGCTTTGTTTCGTGGGCTCAGTGTCCGCAGCCGAGGGCGAGAGCGGGGGGGGGGGCACGGGTGGGGGGGGGGCACAGGTTTCCCCACAAAGTTCTTCAGGAAATATGCCTAACCTGCCTAACCATGCTTAGCCCTCTTGTGTTTGTTGGGTGTTTGGTGGTTAGTTTCCTGTCGAAAATCCTGTCTACGAGTAAAGCGTGGCATCCAGAGAAACACATTTCTCAGTCCTCCTGAACAGATATCAGGCAGCCCTCAAATTTCTTTGAATTTGATGTGGGGCGGCAAGCCCCCTTTCCAACATCATGGAAGTGGACAGGAGGCCTTTTTGAGGAGGACTGTAGTGAAAGGCACCTGCTGGTTTTGGTGATTGCTGGAGAAAGGGCAAGTCAGGATCCACAAGGCACCATGGGTGACCAGTCACTGGGATGCGAGGAGATGCTGCTGCGGTATGTCCCGGTGGACAAGAGAGCGCTGCATCCCCAGATCCCGAAAAATATCAGAGCCTTCGTGCCAAGAACATCCCAACCCGCCGTTTTCCTGGCTTTTAGAGGGTTCCTTTTAAACTCAGCCGAGAAAAAGCACCTTTTGTCCCATGGCCACGTTTGGGTTCTTTGCATTTGATCCCTTTTTCGCCTTCCCCTCCGGTGGGTGATGCGCCTTTCCGGCCATGTTTGGCACATCCCCAAGGGCGCGGGCGCCTCAGGTTTACCACGGTCAACTTCAACGACTGGGGTCTCTGGTCTGAGTACATCTCCACGCTCTTACAGAACAAGTCGCGGGCTCAGGGCAAGGAGGTGTGAGGGTTATGAGGAACGAAACAGCAGTACGGTGCGGTGCATGTGGGAGAAGCGCATTTGCCACAAGCGGACTTAATGATTTACCCGTGGGCAAACGGGCAAACTTGACTCACGTGAGCAACTGCCTTCATTTGCAGAAGACTGCAGTAAAGGCCGGGCGGAAATATTTTTTGGGGTAACATGCGACTGCCTTTATGTACAGAAGGCCGGGCGGAAACATTTGTTGGCCAATATGCTGAATTTAGGTGCAAAGCGAGGTAGGAACACCAAAACGAGGTAGGACCGTGACATATAGGTGGTTGAGATCACAAACACATGCGGCATTGGAGGACGAGTTCAATGAGTCCAACTGGGTTCAGGGGTGGAGAATGAGGTGGGAACACCCGACCATTCAACCATGTAGCAAATAGCTGCCAGGGCTCATGTAGCGTTGTGTCAAAAAGCGTTGAATCAACGGTCTGGCAGTTAGAAGAAGAACTCAATATTCAACAAACCATTAGGAGAGGAACAAGCTAACTTGCGTCACATTCGGGCGATCTCAGGTGGTATCCATTCATGGCAGAGGACGGGAGACGTCTCAAGGTGGCTGTTTCTCAAACTTGTCCAAACGTGTTGGGTGTTTCCTGCTCTGAAGTTTGTTGTTTATTTCCTTTAAGTTATCATTTAGTGATATTTAGTGGGTAAATTGCGAGGATGTGACTTAATGGACTCAGAAAAAGCGCCCCACGCAAAGAAACCTAAGTCGTGTTTTGGCAGATACATGGTGCGTTGGTGCCAAGCAGCAGCTGACTGAAATGAGCAGTGCGCGAAACCTCTTCCGTTTGGCAGTTTTAGCAGATGACTGTACTACTGCCTGGTTTCATGGTTGTTATATTCAGAGTATATGATAATTATACACATACATATATTTATACATATATAATATCATATATATATATATATATGTATATATATATATTCATGGGGGGTTGCAAGCAAGGCCTTAGGAATCCTGTTGGAAGCAGGAGTCACTGGTTTTGGGGTGCGGCTTTGCTTCCGGCCAGGAGCTTGGAAAGCTCAACAAGCTCTCGGACATACCAGAGGAGCCGATGGTGCCCTCCCGGTGAATGATTTACCCCAAACGGGATGAGTTTATGTTTGCTTGGAAAACACAGCGGGAAAAACGTGGCGTCGTCGTTGTTTGCGCGCAGAACGTGTTGCATACCGATCCAAGTACAATCCATTTCGTGTTTTAAGGTTCACTTCGAAGCGAAACTAAATAGAAGCCGCACATCCTTTGGGACCTTTGGGTATCTTTGCTGTCCATGCGAAAGGCACGGGCTTTGGGCAAGCGAACTACAGCAATTTGATTTACGAATGTGCTTGCGTCAAAACCCTGGAGCCTCCAAGTTGTTGCATGGGCGGCAGAAGGTCCGCCGGTCGCATAAGTCGAGTCTTCCCACCCCCTGAAATCTGGGCGTGACAATCTAAGGGGTCCCAATGATACCCATCTCTGGGAGGAACAGCAAAATAGGGGATGTTACATTAGTATTTGGGCCACTCGTAAGTTTGTCATCTTGGTAGGTCACGTCACGACAGACTCCTTTCGGCAGACTTGGGAGGGCATCCTGGGAGGATGGTGCTGTCGTGGAAGTAAGCGTTGTCTGTGGCAAGTGCGAGGCCATTTGGAGGCCACTTTTGCAGACAACGCTGCTTAATGAACCTCTTGCTCAACTTGCGGTGCCGTCGCGGCACAGAATTTTGGCAGAAGGTCGTTGAGGCGAGTTTGGTTGAACATAGATGGATATGGCTGGAAAGGCGCGGGGGGGGGGGGGGGGAACATTTCCCTTTTCCCTGAAGAACATCAGGGTGTGTCTGGCTTTCGCCGAGCATGACTTTCCGGCTTTTGGGTTCGACTCTCAACCAGTCCGTCCTGAAAAGAGGGCCTTCGATGGAATTCAAGATGAACAACCACTTGGGGATCCTCGTTTTCAGTGGGTGTCTCGCAATGCGGAACCTAATCTTTGAAGGGGAGCGAAAGGAAACTTGAAAAGGCCGGTCCCAACATTTTTCGATTCCAGTTGGTGGCAGGGTTGTCTTTCTTTAGACCAGTGCTAAAAGTGGTTGCAGATCCTTGCTTTTTCAATCTTGTGCCCAAGAGGCCGCACAGGGACCACCCGGGTAGTCAAATACCAATATCCAAAAAGACATTGGCAACTCGGGGTCTTCCTCAGGACATCCCTATCAACTTTGTTTGCCTTGTCCCAACCAAAAACACAGATTTTGGTTGCCTTTCAAACCAGAAGGATTTTCGCAAGGGGGCTCCAACCATCCGAAAACCTTTGAGGTTGCCTTTTTGGCTTGCATTTCAAGGCCAAACATACGGTCAGCTCGAAGAAACAGTACCCAAGCCACACCCCTTCGCCTCGCTTCACGCGAGGACGTGAAACTCGAGTCCTGCGACATTTTCGACGGCCGAAGATCCCAGCGGATTGCGAGCGGAGATCGATGGGCCAATGGGAGCGGGAACCAGTAGAAAAACCCGCCACTCCTGACACAGGGGGTCGAAGTTGGCCTTCACTACAGGCACAAGGAGGGAATTAGATCCATGGCCAAATCGCCAAATCTCTGCGCGTGGCTCGGGATTGGCATCATCTTGGATGGGATTGGCTCATAGGCGGGGATCCAGGATGTAGTGTGTCTTGGCTTTTTGCCGAGAGAAAGCCCTGAAATTGCAGAAGCCCTTTTGAAGAAAGCTTCTGCGATGCGCTTGCAAAGGGGCATTGGCAGGTTTAGATGCTTGCCTTGAAAGAAAACTATTGCACATGAACGGAGCTGCGCCCCTGCGCGGGCAGGTTGACATTGAGGCAGACGGTGTCTCTGAGTTGCAGGGCTGAGATTGTTTTTTCTGTCCAGTGCCTTCAGTCACCACCAGGCAAAACCTGGAGGAAGCAATTGGTTAGCAACCACAGCGGTAACTAGAACCGGGCTGTGATGGTTCGTTTGAATGGCTTTGCTTCAAAGCCTTTGGTTGGACCAAATCCTTCTGGAGACCTTGGCTTCCGCCTGTGTGACGGCCGTGGTGTGACTCATAGCCAATTGGTTGATTTCTTCAATTGGCTGTGGGTCAAAAATGGGTACCCAACATGGGTTGCCCCGGTAAATGGAACCAAGGACTAAAACCTAAAACCTGCGGTCCAATTCCTGGTGGTGACAATTTGACCCATGCCTGATGGTCGCAAGCTGCATGGATCTATCCCCTGAGGCCGGCTCTATGGCCACGTCTTGCGCTTCGTGGTCCGCGGCTCAGGCCACGGATGCCCTGGATGAGGCCATCGACAGTTGTGGCACGAGCGCTGTAAACCGTTTGAGGGAACTCCTTAAAATGGTGACATACCGCAGGTGTCCCAAAGAGAGCCCCTATTCTCACCAAGCATGTGTCCATTGTTTGCTGCCACCGAAAGGCTACTAGGAGGCACAGCCTGCAATTGCGACCGTGGCTCATGCTCACCCAAGTTTCCAAGAACCAAGGGTTCATGGAGAATGAAAACATAGTAATCCTGTCGCCACATTCGATTATGCAGGGGTTCTATCAAAACTTTCATGTTTCTTTTGTCGGGCCACCCTCCAAAAAGATTGGTCCAAATATATCGCCACATAGATGACGCCCCGCAAGGTTTCAGAATGGCGTTTGAGGGTTACCGGCTCTTTTTACCTCGTAGGAGTTGCTTGGACTGACCCGTGCTCAAATCTTCAAACCTGACTTTTGAGAGTTAGTTAACATGGCTGGATTTTACCTCGTACCTTCAACCCAGCAAATAGGTGAGAACAACTCTAAGTGTGACAGGGGTTGTTTGACTTGCGGTGAGACCCCCCTTACCCAGCGGCTTTTTCCGGGATCTGAGGTCGCAAAGGCGGTGAAGGCCAAGAAGGACGCCGGACCCCCAGAACATGAGCGGTGGGTGGGTGGCGGGGGGGGGGGAAGGGATGGTCTGGTGGATCCCAAGAAACTTCGCGGAAGGCAAGCAACACGGGAGGTTTTGTCGTGGTTGCGGAGAACCTGATTGCATTGCCAGAGTGTCTTCCTTTCAAAGGTTTCAAAGGGTTTGTCAAAAAAAAAGAGAAAAAACATGAAAATCTCATGCCGCGCCCGCGGGATGCGACCTTTTGGAGAGGTCGACGCGGATGCCTTCAAGCTCGGCACGTACGTCACCGAAGAGATGGACTTCTTGTGGTCGGAGGCCATTTGGGGTTTACAGTCCCCGATTTGGCTTTAAAGGGCACTTTAGACTGGGTCTTCAAGTCGCTGCAATTTGCGAGGTTGTAAAACAGCGATCCTTTGAGGGTGGGTACCAGGGCAACAGTCCAATTTTCGGTCCGAAATACTCAGACTCTGAATGCCATTGTGGGCACAGCGGCACAAGACGCCAATGGTGGATGTGAAACGAAAAACAGCAGGAAGTTGACCTTTGGGGAGGTCCATTGGTCTCTGGGTGCCCTGGTATATGCAGTAAATATGCCCATGGCAAGAGGGGCCAAGGTACAAAAGGCTTTGAGGACCGTCAAAGGGAATCATGATTTGAGGTTTCTGCTTGGTCTTCTTTAGTCCTAGACAAGTCAACTCCCACCCTTTCGCGGGTGCGTCAATGGGGAAGTCAAGGGAGCCTTCCCATTCAAGAGCAACCCCACGTGCCCCACAAAAGTCAGGAGGACAACTCTTAGGTTACAAATCATATC